CATGCTTAATATGTTATAAAGAATACTTTTAAAAAGCTTAAAGAACTCAAATATAAACGGGATAAGATTACCTTTATGCTATTAATAAAGTGGCTGAAATATGATGGAGGCAGAGGTGGACCTGTCAAATGGAGAAAATACAGAAAACTGTGATAATTATCTGTTATTTCCTCTTCAAAAGCACTGCTCTGGGTATTTCTGACTTAGAAGTTTAATGGAAAACGATTCACAATATCAATATGAACATTTAAATCTCCCATTGCTTGTTTTGTTTCCTAACAAAGCCAGGTTTACACGCCTGGTCTTGTCTGTTACTCCAACTTAACTTTTGAACCTTGTTGTAGATTGCACTCAAATTTGAAAGCAAAGATGCCTCAAAGATGAAAAGTTCCTAGTTTTCAAATAAATATCAGCTGGGTGTTGGATGGAAGAGAGGCCTCCAAATTAACTCTGCTAGCAGAAACCAAGAGACAAGGAAAGTCTTCTACATGTTTTGCCAGCAATGGGGCAGCCAGTCTGTCCCTGCTCAGTTATGAATTAGTTACAGTTGTGCTATCTTTCATGGAAGGACAGTTCCATAGCCAACAACAGAAAGAACCACGGTTACTGCTCTGCTGCTGATCACAGAATAGCTGACATTTTTCCTGCAACCAAAATTAGTAGCAGTATCAATGATTATACCAGCTCATCGTCAACAGTAGCCCTGCAATGCTGTTAAGCCAGCACAAAAAAATATAAAAAGCCTTTAAATGTTCTCTATTTGGCAGATACTTGGAAAATGACATTTTTTCCAGGTGCCCATCACAGCTACAGACATTTTCTTCAAACGCATTCTGAACTTTGGGCCCTAGACTGTTCCAGCCACAGATCTGAGATCTCAGTATTTAATCTTAGATGCAGTTAATCACGTAGACAGTGGATACATTGCTACTTCGACTAAATGTATTGCTGCTAGTGCAGCTATTTTGATTTTATTTCAACCTACACACCTCTTACAGATAGCTGACTGAAACACGGCATCTCTGCTCTGGGTTCTTACTATGCCTGCATCTCTATAAGGAGTAGCAAAATAGAGTGCAGCCTGCCATTTATCCAGGCATTTTGTGTTGGCTTCATAGTTTTGCATGGAATCTATTAATAGAGTTTGTTTGTAAAGTCAGAATGATGACATTCTGGGAAAGCAATAAACAAATCTATTGAATGAACAGTTGGTGGAGTTCAGGAAGCTATTCTCATTGCTGTGACTACAGACAGTTTAGTGGGAGGCCCTTCAGTTATCTGCCCTCGGAAAAAAATTCAGACATTTCCTGTACTTTAATCATGTTCTACTATTCTGCAATTTCTAGCTCGTGAATTTCCACTGTCAGAGCTTATGTGGATATCCGTGACACCTAGAGAAGTTATTTGTATGAAAGAATAATTTAGCAACGGCAGCAATGGGCAAGAAATATACAGGAAAATTTTTAGAGAAGAAATATAGAATTGGTCTTAGTTGGTAGGTGAATGAATAAATATGGTTTTTTTTTAGGAGAAAGATGGAGGCAAGACAATTTAACCAGAATTACTGTTTTGTCTATCTTTAACAAGATAGCAGCTTTACAACAAAATCATAAGCATCATGATTTCTTTCTTGAGTACCTAAGTCACCAAGTATGGAAAAAAAACCACAACTGTAGGCATTAAATTGCATTAAATACAAAGCCTGGGAATGAACAGAAATGTAGATAGTGAATAAACTTGCACAGCAGAGGAAATGTTCTTAATTTCTGTATAGGAATGTTTCTTGCTCTTTCTTTTTCCGAATTTATTAATGACTAGGTAGTACTAACTTCTATTTCAAAGCACTGGATATTGACCAGTAAAGATTAATAAGAACAGGACACAAAAACAGATTCAATTAGATGTCCTCTTAAAAATAAAGAAATCCAAAGAGATCCAAAGAGATGTCCTTTTAAAAATAAACAAAATGTCTTCAGTCAAGTGAATTGTGGCTTTGGAACAAGTTACAGTTTTGTATTAATTACAACCACATTAGAGGACAAGTATTATAAATCCAGTACAGACACTTCTTTACAGAGAATATTTTTGATACCATTACATGCTTTTTGTTCTGGACTTCTTAAACAAGAAACTAGGTATAAGTCTTCAAATAGGCAAAGCTGTAGTGGTAAATACCAAAGTACTTTGCTGAACTGCTTTTTAAGTTAAACACACTCCTTTACAGGGTGCCAATGACAGATTTAATGTACCTGGTGGTCCTGGAGCACCTCTGTTTCCCTTTTCTCCTTTTAAGTCCACTGAACTGTGCAGACTCCAGCAATCTCCATTTCCCTTAGCCCCTGCAATAAAAATCACAAAGAACATCACAAAGATCACAAAGAAGCAAAATTAATGAGAATCAATTAAAAATTAATCACAAAGAAAATCACAAACATCACAAAGAAGCAAAATTAATGAGAACTTTCAAGCAGCAGAGACTAGAGTAGTGACACCCAAACCATTTAAAGTAAGAGCAGATTTTCCTGCAGGATGTCACTTCTGGTCTCTATACGCTTGTCTCACTCTCCTCATGAACGCTGAACAGCTACCTGATTGTCCTTCGTAGCTTATCAACCCCAACATGTGCAAAATGATCTTTCTCTTACAAATCAATCTTTTGGTCTGCCTGATCACCTAGCCTATGATCCACTGAATAAGCGTGTTCTCTCTGCATTTGTAAATTTAATGGGACAAGAGCAGAAATGATTCTTGAAATTAAGGTTTCATATTTGATAACAAATCTACTGTCTCTATAATACAGAAGATATCAATGTGGTATCTGTAACTATGAATGTCAAAAATATTACACCTTATTGCTCCCTTACATCATAAAAGCATTATTAATGAAGGAAAGATCCTCTGAGATCAGAAAAGCTTTTCTCATCATGTTCCTTCCAGGTGAGCTGAGGATAGAGTTATACGCAAATACATCTGGATAAACATTTTTTTTTTCTAGGCATTGTTCAGCTTTCATTCAACCTTACTCTATTAAAGATCTTGGTAAACTGATTCCTAGTATTTAGATTTCTTCCGTCTTCTTTTCTTTCTGCTTTAGTAGTTGTCAATATATTTACAAAATTCATGTAAAACGTCTTTCTGCCACAGTAACATCGTATAGCTGCTTTCTTTGGGCAGAAATGCCTTTTCCAGTTTAAGGTGAGGTGATCCTATTCTGAGTGATGAGCAGGAAGGGCACTGAAGTATGATGGCAAGGAGGTACAGGACACATCTGTTGAAGCCATTTTCACTTGTGGTATCTTCAGCCTGTGTTCACTTGTGACCTATGCTGGGAGTCAATGAATCATTAAGAGTACTGGCTCTTCTCTGATCTGATCCAACTGTATTTGTGAATTTCATGGGGACTAGCACAGATACAACATTTGTCTTGCTTGGCTACTCAATCTATGTTCCATGACCTGATGCTAATTCTAAATAAGACTTTTATGGTAAGAAATATTTTAATGGTAGCAAAGCCTCTTTATTAGCTTTCTGTGACAGCACTGGTCTCACTCTCTGCCCTGACATGTTTTAGGGTGAAAAATATTGCAAATATCTTTCCTTTTTTCTAGCTGTGCGGAACTACCATAAATATGGAAGAATCAAGATTAATTTCTCTTTCAGATTTGCATTTTACAACAGAGATTTCCAGACAGATCTCCTCTGCCCTTCTTCCTCTTCTAGTCATAAAAAGTGAAAGATGGTCACGGATATCACCGTGGTTTTTTTGATGACTCTTGTCCTTCGTCTACAAGTCCACGTTAAGATGGCTTCTGATAGAAAGCAGGGTCTCATTTTATGGTTTGGTGCCAACCACATCATCTATCAGGTGTACAGCTAGACAGTGTTGCAGGTTGCCAGCTGAATACTAACTGTCCATAGTCAGAGCACATTCTGGGGTGACATCTTTAGAATTATTTTCAAGGCAGATTTCTAGTTCAGTCATCAGTATTTTAGGCAGTCTTAAAACATCAAGATAAACATAGAACTTATACAAGGAACCTCTAGTTTTCTCTTCTTCAGGAGATCGTCACTTCTTGTCTGCTTAATCCACTCCCCTGATCCTGATCCCTTGCATTCAGTTTTCCTTCTCTTCCTTTCTTTTTCTGTTTAGACCAAAATGGTTTTGTCTTTCTGATCATCTCAGTTGCTGCAGAGGGAGAGGAGCTATTTGAACTGCTGACATCAGTCCACTGACTATTCTCTGGACCATGCTGGTGTCCAGAGGTAGTAATTTCTTCCTCCAGAAACAGCCACAAAGCCCAGCATTTGATACCATGTTCCACCTCTGCAATATTCAACTTGTACACGCTCTGATAAATTAGACTGTAAGCTCTTCAAACTCCTTTGTACAGTGAGATCTTTAAAGTAAGCTAAATAAAAGGAGGAAGATCAAGCATTTCTGACTTATGTCCTCCAAAATCTCAAGAAGACTTTCCTCATCTCTGAATATTGTTGGAGCATCAGCTGACTACTTCCTTCGGATGCTCTGGAACTTCACTTTTGTATCTTCAAAAAGCTGTGAAGGAGCAAAACTGTCACAGAACTTTGTGCTACTCTTGGAATTGAAGAACTTCTACAGTATTCGGTCATGGCATTGCCGCCTCAGTCAACAGTCACTTAAAAAAAATTTGTGTTGTATGTGCATGCACACAGAATTGCAACTTGTTTCCCTCCACAACTCACATGCAATTGAATCTGTTCCTGCAGCAGGATTTTGGGAAAGGGCAAAAGGCCAAACTGCAGACAACCGCTTGGTTTATTTTTAATGCCTGGGGCACCCAGTAAGCTGCAACTTTGTGTTTATCTGGTGGAGTCCAGCTTCAGAACAGAAAAGTAAGTAATTTTACAATAATTTTTAAATGGGAAGGAATTTTAATGTAAATGGTGACTTTTCTTCCTGAAGCCAAAGTAATTACTGTTTGGGCTGGGAATTAGTATGCACTTAGAGAAACGAAACTATAATGAGGAACTGAATAAAACCCAGAAGGTTTAAGCAACATTGTCATAGTATAAATTCTCACATTCAAGATCTTATTTAGACTGCAGTCTGAGAAGGAAGTCCTTTTAATAGCTTGAAATATTGTAGGGAATTCATTTCTTTGATTAATTAATAAGTTAATTACCATTTTTTTTTATCCTCTCAAGTACAGGCTAAAGGACTGATACAAAGAATAATTAATTGGAATCAACTCTTTGAACCAAGGGGAAAAAACATGAACTTCAGGCTCTCTGCGGGCATTTATTCCATTGGATCATGCATTCTTCTCTGTCAAAAGCAAAGATATGTAGAAAGAAATCAGAAGAGCCCCTATGTACAGAAAGAAACAGAGAATTTTTCCAGGTGTCCCACGTGTGGGACTTCTCAACTTCCTTTTCCCTTATTTACTTAGTTTGCCTTTCAGGTTTTTTTTTTTTCTAGCTGTTCCTGAACCCCAAGAATTACTTTCTTTTGAACAGGTCTCAAGTTTCTAATGTATGAGGGGTATGGCAACATTTCTTCTGTCTCACCCAAAAAACTCAAACTCCTTTAGGGAAAGTACCAATATCTTGTGCTTTATCTCAGCAATATTCTCTCTGGCTCCAGCAATTTGTTCACTCTGTAATAGTTTTCTCTTGAGCAATAAGATAGAGAAGCACTTAGGCAGAACAGTAGGCTCTGAACCACAGCTGACCTCTAGATGAACTTCACTACCAAATGCTATATCACATATGCAATACAATCTTTATCTGTTTTGCTCTTTTGACATGAATATTTTGTTACCAATCTATATGAGGCCTGTTGTAACACTTACTGTGCTACACTAATTCCGATAGAGGATTTTTCTTCATTTAGGGCCATGTTTACAAGGCAATAAAACCTTGTGAGCAGTGGAACCAGACATGTGATCTTGTTGAGAAATCTGTGGTTAAAGCCCAAACAGACTGAGACACTCCCTTGAGCCCTGGACAGGCTTTGGGTGAAATCCAACAGGAGGATGACACCAGATGTTTCCACACTTGAAATTATGTAAGCTTGTTTATTCAGCTATATAAAAACTGGACCCCGCTGTAGCAAGTTCAGAGACCTCACCTATGAGTGGATGCACTGCATAGGACGTCCCAATTGCCAGCAAAAGCTCTCCAAATCCTTGCTGCAATCAGGGCTCCCCAGTGACTGTAGATCTGGATGATGGTAAAGTATTTGGGCAGTTGGTGATGTCTCTTCTGTGATCACTATAGTTAATCTTGTGTAGTAATGATTAGGTGCAAGACCTCGCTCTGTTTTATTCTTGCTGTACTATTTCACTTGTTGCTTTATTGCTTTAAGCTTAAGTAAAGGTAAACTCACTTATTTAAATTTGGTGCCTGTGTCCTTTGTGCTGACCCCATTTGTTGCCAAAACAGATAGGAATCATAAAAAGAGTGTATTTTGTTATCAGTTACTCAGAGGAAGGAAGTATTTCAAACCTCATCAATAAGGCACTGGAGGAATGAGAAACTTGGCTGGTTGGTGGGATGTAATATCAAGTGGATATTAGAATTTAATCTGAGGAGAATGACTTGTCACAGCAGTGTGTGATGCCTGCTTCTCTCACAGTGCTTCTTTGCTCTGACAGAGGGCTCCTAAGATTAGAACGTTTGGAACCTGTGCTGCATTGCTTTATTTATAAGTCTTAGCCTTCAAAGTGCAGACATATGCTCATTTGTTCCTTGGTCTATGTATTGAGACTGGACCAAGATATAAAATTACGGCTTCAAAAGAAAAGGAAGTGAACTTCATGAACTCGGTTATGCAACAGCCAAGAAAAAATTGTTTGTTCACAGCAAGAACAGCTTATTTAAACCATGTTACAAGAATTACTCACCATGGACATTAAGAACATTTTGATTTCCAGGGTAAATATTGCTCACCTACAGGCAAAGAAAACTCACTTAAAAATTATCCATACCCATTAACTGATGGAAATGCATCAGTTAGTACTGTTAGAAAGCCTGAAATATTTGCATGCTATCACAGAAAGTACATAGATAGCTCCTAAATGTTTCCTGTTTATTTCTGTGGAAACAACAGATACAAAGATAGAACAACGCAAGAGATACAAAGAGCACAACAGTACTATCTGATAAACTCTCAACTAAAAAACACTACTTTTTAACACAGTCGCCACCATTACCTATACATTTTCACCAGAGTTGAACACAGCCTGCATGCCACACTTGTGAAAATCTGCATGGCTGTCTGGAACATGGCTTGTCTTTCACGTCACTGCTGCTGCTGTTGAAATGGACCACCCATCACCTCACTGTGTCAGCATCCACGGTTTGGGCTCCACAAATGTTCAGCAGGTGATGATGAAAGTCAATTGATGCAATTTTTTCCACATGGAGAAATTCAATTATCTGCCTTTGCTTCATATGCATTTCCATGTTCACTAGATCAGATCTCATTCTGAGCTAGAACACTTCCCATGATGGGGCACTCAAGATTTCTCTGAGCAACATGTTCTGGAGCATCACTGCTCTCATAGTGCTCTCTTCCTAACATCTAATCCAAATCTATCCTCTTTTAGTTTAAAACTTTCACTCTTTGTCCTATCACTACACTGCCTTACAAAGTCTCTCATCTTTCTTGTAGCCCCCGCCTAAGTAGCAGAATGCTGATATAAGATATCTTCCTGGAGTCTTCTCTAGGCTAAATAAATCCAACCCTCTCAGCACATCTTTATAGGACTGGTGCTCCAGCCCTCTGATCATTTTCACTGCCCTTCTCTGGATCACATCAGAGTCAGTACCTTTCATATGTTGGGGGCCTCAGAGCTGAACACAATACTGCAGATAGGGTCTCAAGAGAGTGGAGTAGAAAGGGACAATCACCTCCCTCAACCTGTTGGCCACATTTTTTTTTTTTTACCCAGGATACAACTAGCTTTCTGAGCTGCAAGTGTACGTTGTCAGACGTCGTGTTCTTTTTTTTTTTTACCCCCAAGTCTTCTCCTCATGGCTGCTCTCAATCCATTCATTGCCATGTCTGCATTCATTTTTGAGACTTCCCTGGCCCATGTGCAGGACTACTCACTCGATCTTGAATTTCATGAGGTTCATGTAGGACTACCTCTCAAGACCATCAGAGGGTCCCTCTGGATGGCATCCTTACCTTCCATTGCGTTGACTGTGTTACTCAGCTTGGTATCATCCTCACATTTGCTGAGGGTGCACTCGGTTTCATTGTCCACATCACCAACAAAGTGTTAAATAATACAAATTCTAACAAAGACCCCCTGCAGACATCATTCATCATTGTTCTCCACCTCTCACAAGTCTTTCAGTGCAACCATTCAGCCAATTCCTTATCTGCTGAGTGGTCCATCTGTCAAATTCAGGTCTTTCCATTTTAGATATATGGATGTTGTGTAGGACAGCATAAAAACTTTGCACATGATCAGGTAGCTGGCATCAGCTGCTCTTCCCTTACCCACCAGTGATGTAATCCTGCTATATCAGGTCACCAAATTTGTCACACATGAATTGTAATGAAGTGAAACCATGTTGGCTATCACACCACCTCTTTAGTTTTCATGTGACTCAACACAGTTTCCAGGAGGATCTGCTCCATGATCTTGCTGGACACAGAACTGAGACTTAGTGACCTATATTTCCCCAGGTCTTCCTTTTTTGCCCTTTTAGAATGGGATTTATCTTTCCTCTCTTCCAGTCAGTGGAAACGTTACTGGATCACCAAAACTTCTCAAGTACGATGGATAATGGCTTAGCAGTTTTGTCTTTCTAGTTCCCTCAAGACCTTTGGATGCACCTCATCGGGTAATGTACTTTCAGGTTGCATGGATGGTTTTGCACCTGATCTACTCCTGCAATGGGCAATACTTCATTCTCCTAATCCATGCCTTTGGATTCTGTGAACTGGGCCTTCTGACTAGAGCAGCTGCTGAAGAAAACCGGGGCAAAAAAATAAAGGCGTTTAGTACTCCAGCCTACTCTATGTTCTAGGTAAATAAGTCATTTCCATCAGCAGAATGTCCACATTTTCCGTAGTCTTCCTCTATTACTGATGGTTCTTGCAGAAATCCCTCTTACTGCCCTTGACGTCCCTGGCCACTTCAATTCAACTTTGGCTTTAGCTTTCATAACTTCATCCCTGGCTGAATGTATCTACATTCCTCCAAGGCTGTCTGTGCTTCCATCTTCAACAGGCTTTATTTTTGTGTTTGGCCAGGAGCTTCTTGTTCATCCTCGTAAGCTTCCTGGCATTTTTTCCTTACTTTCTCTTTGTTGGGCTTCATTGCTCCTGAGCTTGGAGGAGGTGATTGCTGTATATTGACCAGCTCTCTAGGATGCCTATTCCCTGCAGGTCTTCATCCCATGGTACTCTACCAAGGAAATCCCCTTGGACACTGAAGTCTGCTTTCCTGAATTTCAGGGAGGTGAGCTTGCAGTGCATCTTCCTCATAGCCCTAAGGATATTGAGCTTCCCCCATTTCATGGGGGAGGCAGCCAGGGCTCCCTTTGACCATCACGTTCCCCACAGGTCTCTCTTTATTAGTTAGAATTAGGTCCAGCATAGCACCTCTCCTCATTGGCTCCCTTATAACTTGGAAAAGGAAGTTATCATCAAAGAACTCCAGGAACCTTTTGGTTGATTATGCCCTGCTGTGTTAGTCCCTCCAAAAGACATCAAGGTGACTGAAGTTCCTCATGAGGACCAGGGCTCGTGAACATGATGCTGCTCCTATCTGTCTATAGAGTGCCCGTTCTGCTTGGACTTCCTGGTCAGGTGACCTGTAGCAGACCCCCACTATAAAGTCATCTAACCCTGTTTTCCCTTTAATCCTAACCCATAAGCTTTTGGTCAGCTCCTCTATCCATTAGCAGAGTTTCATGAGCTCCAGCTGAGCACTGACACAGAAGGTGACCCCCTTTATTAATTTTCCCTTCCTGTCCTTCCTGGTGAGCCTATATACTTTCATTACAACACTCCAGTCATTAATTATATGTGAATAGACTGCATATGAATGACAAACAAGGAATGTGATCATCCTTTCCTGATGCACTTTCCATGCCACATTAAAATATGTAAAAAGTCTTATTTTGAACAGAGAAATTGGAAACAGTTGGAGACATAACAACATGGAAGCATTACTTGTATGTACATCTAAAAGGCTTATGCATATGTATGTGTAAAAATTAGCTTCTCAAAGCAGTTCTCAGACTGTAAAAATGTGGAGTTTTGAAAGACACTGAGAGAGTTAGGACAACCAACTAATTACAGTGCATTAAGGGAAAGGTTACTGTGTTTTCAGTTCTCTTGCATTTTTCACATGTGGCTAACATTGAGTATCTAAACACTTGAAAATCTGTTATCTCGAATGCTAAGTAAAGCATATTTCTGCTGCAAAGCAAAAGTCGTGGAGTAAAAAGCTGCAGATCTACTGCGGTTATGCACATAGCTACTTTGGTTATGCATCATCATGGCCATGCTTGCTCAGAGCAGATTATTTTTGTACTTACTGTATTCTTGCAATGAGGTCTAGGAGAGACTGGGAAAACTGCCTATTCAAAATAGGATGGGAAACAAGTTTAATGAATGTGAGCAATAATAAACAACATAATATACCTAACAGTAATATCTAGTTGACATGACAAGACAAAGGCAAGAAACAAAAATCAGCACCCCCTGAACAGAGCCTGCTTGCTGCCTGGGAGCTCTCAGGGTTCTGTCAGCATAGAATCATAGAATGGCCTGGGTTGAAAAGGACCACAGTGCTCATCAGTTCCAACCCCCTGCTGTGTGCAGGTCACCAACCAGCAGCCCAGGCTGCCCAGAGCCACATCCAGCCTGGCCTTGAATGCCTGCAGGGATGGGGCATCCACAGCCTCCTTGGGCAACCTGTGCCAGTGCCTCACCACCCTCTGAGTGAAAAACTTCCTCCTAATATCCAACCCAAACCTCCCCTGTTTCAGTTTAAAACCATTCCCCTTGTCCTATCACCATCCACCCTCACACACAGCCGTTCCCCCTCCTGTTTCTACGCTCCCTCCAAGCACTGGAAGGCCACCATGAGGTCTCCCACAGCCTTCTCTTCTCCAAGCTCAACAAGCCCAGTTCCCTCAGCCTTTCCTCACACAGAGCTGCTCCAGCCCTCTGCTCATCTCAGTGCCTCCTCTGGCCCCGCTCCCAGAGCTCCACATCCTTCCTGTGCTGGGGGCCCCAGGCCTGGACGCAGCGCTGCAGATGGGGCCTCACAAGAGCCGAGCAGAGGGGGACGATCACCTCCCTCTCCCTGCTGGCCGCCCCTTTTTCATGCAGCCCAGAACACAGCTGGCCTTCCGGGCTGCAGGCGCACACTGCTGCCTCATGGCCAGCTTCTCGTCCACCAGGACCCCAAGTCCTTCTGTGCAGGGCTGCTCTCAAGGATGTCTTCCTCTATGTCCCAATCTGTACGCATGGGGAAAAACTCTTACGTGACAGTGGCTCTTCTTGAGAAATTTCCTCCTATGCACACAAGCAAGTTAACCCACTCTAAATGCTCTTGCTTGAAACAAATTTTGAGATTATATTTTGCAAAGCATTTTAAGAACAGCATATTTCTTTTTCAGAGGAAGAAGAGTTACAGATTATTGGATTATTCAATATACTTACTCCTTTGATGTGAACTACATGTCCTGGAGGTCCGGGGGGTCCAGGGGGCCCAGGCAAACCAGGAATGCCCTGTAAAAGAAAGTGAAATAAGAACAACTAGACAGATCTTTTCATATGGGCTTAGGGAACAAAGGATCACAGGATCAGAGAGCACTGTTTAACCAAGAAGTTTTGTGTGAAATGACTTGAAGGAAGACTGATCTTTCCATTACAGGGACCAAGCTAAGCTGGAAGGTGAATTTTAGTATTTAGCCTAAATCTATGGAGAACAAAGCAGTCTAAAATTATTATTTCCAGGGAACAACAAACAGATAAACAAACATCCAACAAAAAGCATTAAAACTTGATTAGGTCTCCAAGATTGATCTGAGAGCCCTAGGACTGATGAGATTCATATAGTTCAAAGTGTTTGTCAGGTAGCCACACACTACTTAACATCTTCAAGAAACTCTGCTAGCATGGCTGCCCTTTACAAAAAACTGTATCAACACTTCACTGTGTCATTTAAAAACTTAGCACCACATCATGTCCAGCTTTCACTCTGCATTGATGTGAGCTTCAGTGAAGCAGCACCCCAGCAATAGCCAGAGATCTAATGGATTTTTTATCTTTCCCAAGCACTTGAGGAAGTGCTATTAGAAGATGTAGTCTGTTTTGCTTGCTTGCTTGCTTTGATCTCCCAGCCTAATAAACTTAATCTAGTGCTGCAAGCTTTAATAGTTTTTGTTAAAGTAGACAATCCAGAAAATTAACCTTGACTCTGTTTGAAGATACGGAGAAATCAATTCAATGTTTACTGACAGGCACTGTTCATGTTTTCCATTTGTTTTTCTCCTGCTAGAGTTTGCCTGATTTCTGGTTTCATCTTCCAGCAACTAGTTTTCTATTAACTAGATCATCTCATCTGAAGCTGATTCCTACCTTTGCATGATTTCTATGATAAAGTAGTAAGAGGCCCCTGTCTTCTTTTTTCTTCCAGCACATCTCTTATACAGACAAAATATTATTAGCTGCTGTTGTAATAAAAGTGCAATTTTTTTCCCCAGCACAGATTGGTCCATATCAGAGTGGTTACAATAAATACACTAGACTGAAACATATTGCTTATCCTCAGTAATGCTTATTGTTGTGTAGCCCAGTCTTCATGTTTGCCATGAGACCAGTGGAATAAATTCTATTCATAAGAACAGAGTTGCAGCAACAGGACCTTGGTTCATCACTTCTTATTCTACAGTTACAGGATGTGGGTGGGCATGTATGTGCTATCATCTTGGGAGCACTATGCAGTAGTCATTACTCTGGATGCATGTACACGACAACTCAAGCAGGTAATATATGTCAGTAGGCATCTCCTTGTTTGTAGGATAGCTGATACTTCATGACATACTTATGTACTATTTGGACATATGCTATTATTTAAAAGCCCATGGGGAAATCTTCAAACAATGAAGATACTTGTATAGTTCTGAAAAGGATTGACAATCTCGGGTCATTTGTTATTTGAAACACCTGTGTAGTGAATTTCACATACAACTAACTGTTACATCTGGGATCTGAAGTAAAGAGCTATACATGTAAGAATAGTCCAGATGGATCCAGAAGTTGACTTTCAATGCTTGTTGTCACACAGGAAAAATAGCAGGAACATCTAATCATTTCAAGCCCATTTCAGCTTTTTAGTCCTGTTGTCATTTTAAAGGGATTGAAAAAAATCATATTCAATTAACTTTAAGAACTTACATTTAATGCTTCTCCTCGTTCACCTTTCACACCTTTCAGCCCATTCAGTCCTGGGCGGCCCTGAAATGAGTATGCACAAGCAGAAAAAAAAAAGTAGAAATAACATAGTATGTGTCAGAAATGAGCTGCTCTGTCTTCATTCAGTTTGAGATCTTAATACATACTGGGCGTCCTGGGAAACCAAGTTCTCCTTTAGGTCCAGCAGGTCCTATTGGTCCCTGGAAAAAAAAAAAAAAAGAAAAAAAAAAAAGAAAATGTGATTATGGAAAAGGGAGAAAAATATTGAAAAAATGCTATATGGAATATATCTATGAGACATATTTTATTAGAAAAAGAGGCATAGTTTCACAGTTGCACAAAAAACTAGTCTGCGATTGTTGAAAATGTGCAGAGTTTTCTCGCTATCTGTTCTTCTAAATGATCTTGAATGCTGAGAGGGCTGCATATAACTCTGTACTCTGGTTTGGAATATAATGATCATCTGAAATGAAACCTGAATTCTCAGCCATTGTAGTGTGTGCAATTCAAGAGTAAGTTGCCATGAATCGAAGCAAAATTAAATGTCTTAGTCAGTAGAAAAAAGGCTGCTAGTGGTATATACTTTGTGCATCTGCTTTTGGTTTGCATTGTTTCATTAGTTATTTGTGCTGTAAGTCTGTAAATCAGACCAAGACTTCAGATAGCTCCAGACTTGTACATGTCTCTTGACAGTTTGGATATGTGGACTCATTGAGCTGGCAGTTGAAACAGATCCTTCTTTATACAAGAGTTACCCCTCAGGCTTCACAGACTGATCAAAGCAATTTCAGACAGAAAGGTCAAGCAGGTCACTCAGAAAAAATAGTCCAGTGCCATGGATGATCTATGATTTGCTATTTGCAAACATAAATCTTCTAGGCAACCAGAGGTAGCAGATCAACAAAAAGCGGTAAACCTGCAGACAGCACAAGCTTTTGTCTGCTGTCAGCTTCCCAAAACTCACCAAAACCACAACTGTCTAGACAATCTCTTTACTTACGTGTCAGTCTTTCAAGTTTATTTTTCTTTTTTTCCCAGTCTGGTGAGATACTCATGAATAACTAGGACTTCAAATGTATATCAAGATTGTACGAGCTGACATCACCAAAGCCACCTTTACTGTTTCCTTTGTCAAAGTCTCAGCCTGCACCAAGCAGATGTTAATGACTCCCTGAGACAGAAGCCAGCAGTCACAGCTATATGTGAAAGAAGGAAGTGAGGAAGCCGCAGAAAAATGCTTATCAGAAAAGAAAATTTCATTTGCAAAAGCAGGGGAGGTGATTTGTGCAGGCTGACACTAGGGTTATAGCTCAGAGCTCCTGTTACATAAATGTGGTGGTTTGCTTTATTGATAGTGAATAGCAAAATCAAGCTGGTAAAAACTCCTCATTTCCTCCTTACCAGGAGCTCTGATTCAGTCTGTCTCTTCCACTTGTTCTACTAACAGCACTAACCTCCTAACTACCCCCAGCCAAAAACCTGCTTGTCTGCACCTAGTCTATTGTGCTCCAAACTCCTGCGATCCTCACTTCTGTTCAGATGAAGTCTCAAAGAGGAGGAAAGCTGGGGAATTATTTTAAATTCTGGAAGCCTGTCTGTAAGTTTGTTCTGCCCCAGTAGCACAGAGGAATGATGATGAGTCCTCAGCTATCCTGGACTGTTCTTGGGGCAGAACTTTATTTTATACAAAGTGGTACAGAACAATTGGCGCCAATACTTTGATAAGTTGGGCAGACTGGCTGGCCGAGTACTCTGAAATTTGTATATTATTACTGCATGGGACTCCCAGTGACTACAAAAGGGTTTTTACTGGGAGCAAATGCTAAAAAGAATCACGCTTGTCTGCAGCAATGATGAAGCTAGAGTTATGCATTAAGAATCCCTAGGCACTAAGAATACACTAAGACCAGAAATTGGCTGGTCAAAATCTTGAGACAGGCTCTGTCTACAAAATTATCCCATAGTGTAATCATTCACCAGTCTGGCAAAAAATGAATGGCACTGTCTCTGCACTAAACTGTATGAAACATCTCATGGCAGTGGCGATGTAAACACAGAGCTTGGGACTAACAGAAAAAAGGACATGTCCTGAAGGATGCATAGCAGTAGGATAAGTGGCAAATGACACAAGCTAGAACAATGAGAAATTTCAAACAAATGTAAAGAAAAGCTTATTTATCTTGCAGGTCACTATGTAACAGGAAATTGCTGGCCAGAGAGGCTTCCACATCTTCTGAGAGATGTCAAAGACTTGACTTTGGCAAGTCCCTGAATTAAAGAGACTTGCTTTGGCCAGAGGGGTGTAATAGATGACTCTGAAGTTTACTTTCATTCTAAATTACACAGTATTCAAGCAGTTTATCAACACATCCAGCTAGTTGTTTCTAGAGACCACAACAACTGATGGCAAAGTGTCCTGTTCATCTTAATGCACAGAAATCACAGAATCATAGAATCAAACAAACACAGAATCATAGAATGGCTTGGAAGGGGCCTCAAAGATCAACTAGTTCATGGTCCTGAAGTTGGACTTTGTCAGGTTAATATTCCTTGTGATCTTCAACTCAACCAGGATGTGGTTGCTACAGCCCATATTGCCTCCAGTCTTAACCTCTTTCATGAGCTCAGCAGCACTGAGGAGTGTCAGGTCCAGTAACCAAAGAAGCTACTAACGAGTGAGACACAATGGAGATCAGGCTACATCAAAAGCAGATCAAAAGCAAAGAAAGACTCAGTATTCTTGATCTTTGACAAATACTAGACTACAATAAATACATTTCTGCTCTAACACTATTGAGTCTGTGCAACTCTTCATATTTTACAACAAAATTACTGTTGTGCTTTCATACTACATTTTGTCCAGTCAAAGATTTTAGGCCAAGTTTGTGAAACAAAGACACTTAACCCCAATTTCAGTAAATGGTCTGAGGCTACTGCCTAATTGCGGCTTCCTCTGAACCCAAGGGAGTTAGTTGCAAATTCTTGTTTCCTATAGAAATTGGGGCTGATACCATCTGTTGTTTTAACTCAAATAGAATCAGAAAATAATTTAGTTCTTGTCTTACCATTGGTCCCATTGGTCCTACCACTCCAGCTTCACCCTATTGAGGACAGACACATGCAACAATTACAAGGAGAACATCTGCAGTATCTAGCAGAGGTAGCAGATAACAAGGCCACCAAACATTCTGGAAGAACACAAAACAGTATTAACTCACCTTCTGCCCTTTTCTTCCCAACAATTCAGTTAAAGACCCATCAGCAGCAATGATAACTCCAGATTCTCCTTTTTCACCCTGCAATTATTGTCAAAGTAGTAATACTTGTTTTTTAAAAAAGACTTTCAATTGCTCTCAACAGATCATCTGTATGAAATGTTCTCATAAGATCTCTGCTAAAGGGAAATGGGCTACTGGCATCTTCCTGTGTACTGTCAGCTCAGATATTGGTTAGTAAATCCTAATATAACTGTAAATTCTTTACAGAACACTAAGTAGAAAGCAAGAATCTTTATTTCTATGTCCTTGGGACATTATGTGATGTCCTTATCTCTACTTCAATACCACCAATATTTGCCTCAGACATCCTGGGCCAACAACATAGGAGGCATTACTTTCAGAGCAGCCCTTGTATTATATCAGCTGGTTTTGTTCAGCATTCTTTCAAATTCCACTTATTACATTTTTTCACACAAGCTTACTAACATTCCAGTTCCTAGTAAAATTAGAATAATAAAACTTATAATGTCACTAAGGATTTGTTATCAAGCACATTTTGTTGTACGTATTTTTCCCTAAGCAATTTCTCTTACCTGTTGTCCTTTGGGTCCTTTCAATCCTGGCAAACCAATATCACCCTTTGGTCCCCGTGGGCCCTAAGCAAAATCAAATCCATAATCCATAAATCCATGGGAAAGAAAAGAGGTGAAGTAGGGATGGTATTTCCACGTAAAAATTTTGAAAGACTGACAATTAATTATATGGTTTACTAAATACTGACAGTTCTTTTTAACTGAAAAGCATATCAATTTTTTTTTTAATGTTATTTATTTTGTATGGTTTCCTGTGCAGCCTACCACACACAGGACCCAGTAAACAATCTTTTGTATAATTCTGGGCAATTTGCCAACATTATTTATCAACTTCCCCAGTTTTGTCCTTATTCTCAGGCCGTACAAGTGGTCCTGAGTTCATAAGCACACATCCAAATTGTAAAACACTCGTAACAAGGGAAAATAATGCTATTACATTACACATCATATACGTAAGTTTGATAATATAAGCAATATTATAAGTCGCAAACCATATAATGCTTATATGGGATAGCAGTAGGAGCACAGTAGGGAGCATAATATAATGCATCATTTGATAGTCTGGCTGTGTAATGCTTCCAATGTGACATCCTTAAAAAAGTGGTTATTCTAAAAAATGTGTTTAATTTGATATAAGAATATAACCTCTTGTGTTCTTTGTATCATCCTAAAAGACTAGAGGAATAGTAAACCTAGCAGCTCTCCACAGTAGTGATCAAAAAACAATAATAACAAAAGGCTTAAGGAGTAATATACTTCCACACATTTGAACACAGTGTTTAGAAGCCCATAAGTACCTTTTATTCCTCCTAATTTGCACAGAACTTTTCCTTAGGTAGTAATTTTTCATTAGACTACTGTATTTAAACTACAGAACTGACTCTGAGACGAGCAGAAATGTGAGTTGGGCATATAACAGTATATTTCCCAAAGCTAATTTCTACTGTACACGTTGATTAAAAAAATACTCTCTCATAAGAAAATTAATCAGACTTCACATGAATTCTGTTCAATATAATTGTTAAAGTATTTAAAACATACTGAAAACCTCTTACTTAGACTGCAGAAACAGAATACTTACAGGGAATCCTGGTAAACCTGGCTTACCATCTGGTCCCTGCAAAATGCAAAAACTCACTCACAACCACATAATACAGACTTGCAAAATGGTGTGGGTTTTCAGTGCATTGTCTAATTTGTGAATATTAACTGATCTGAAACTGGATTGAAAACTTCATTCATCCAGCGGTAAAGCTGTGGTCATTTCACAATACCTTATGCTTCTACCTTTTTCTGAGACATTCAGATTTACTTTCCAAAACTGAAGGATATCCAGGAAAGTCTGAATGAACATGATGTTTTCCCCCATATGAAAGGCATGCAACTGCAACTCAGACTCTTTAAAGTCTTACAGAATCCAACATAGAAACCACAGAGGCCCTGTCACCTTTTCCACTGAACCTCTGGTTGCCAGTAGATAAAAAATAGCATATCTGCTAGATCATGACTATAAACACGGATTTGTATTTGTACTGGACATTTTTAAGACTGTCCAACAGTGTTATCTGCAGATTCACTTTAGTTCTTGTTTAAAGCATGTGGACATGGATTACTTAAGTCACTACGACACTCCAATCTTCTCCCAATCTACGGTCAAATACAAGACTGAGGTTGTGAAACCCTTCCAATTGTGACTAGGCTTCAAGCTACAGGGTCTATTTCTTTCTGTTGGTACTGTAAAAACTACTACAAATCGATAAATTTCTACTGGGATCATGTTTATGCCTTTTTGATATCCAGTCTTTTAAGGTTTGAAAGGCAACTAGCTGCAGTAACAGACTTCACACAAAATGGGCCATCCTATGCTGGCATCCTAGTCTGCCCAGGGATTGACATTCTGTACATACACCTTCCTTCTTTTGTCAGGGACTGAATGTGAGGGGTGCTCACAAGAAAGACAATAAGCAAAGTAAAATAAACAAACAACAGACTGCAAATGAAACTGGTTTTGAAGCAAGACACTTAGTTTGTGGAATTCAAATTTTGTGAAGTGCAATGTATTATAGACCTTCACGCAAGTCCTATCACTGAATAGACTGCAGCTCGGAGAAGACAGGTTTCTAGTCCTAATTACTAGGATCTAGTCCTAGTAATTTAAAAACCCTTCCAGGAAGCATCCAACTCATCAAATATTTAACCAAACTGTTTTAAAGCTACGTGTCTAGCTGCAAAACAGAGCCAGAAATTTCACATCTGTTGTTTTATGAGATTTCCAGATTATCATCCACAGATGTAATTGCTGTGAAATTATACACAAGAGTCCAGTATTCCTAGTTGTAATTTCAGGAAGAACTGAGTGAAATATTTCATCCCAAGATTTCATGATTTGAAAAACAAGAGTACAAAAAAAGTAGAAAAAATGCTATGTACATCTGCATCCCTGTTACTGCATCGGTTTCACATTTCTGTCTTTCTGGTCATATTCAGATCGTGTTCAGATTCAGAACTAAAGCAACTGCTTCCATTTCTTTCTTCTAGACAAAAGTTTAAGAACTAATTAATCCACACAGAATATATTTTTCCCTGAAGTACTCTCACATAGCTTACTGCTGAAACTAGCAGTAATTATACACATTTTTAAAGCACAGGAAACTCTCAGCTTTGGATATTTATAAGGGAAAATTAAAGACAGAGCAATTTTGGAGATTTAATAAAGGAGCATATACTCACAGGAGGCCCAAGCAGTTTTTCAATTGTAGTGAAGTTAAGAATTCCTTCTGTATCATTGAGAAGTAGCTAAAGAGGTGGTTAAGGAACAGTTTATTTCAAATACCAAACAAAGCACATAGGGGTAGACGTACATTTTTAGAATTCTGCAGAAAGTTAAAACATCTTGTTTGAAATGTGGTAAGAAAATCACAAGTAAGGTCACAGGAAATGTTAGCTAATACAACTTTTGTTACAGATCTGGAATAACAATACGTCGCACTTGCATTTCATTCATTATGTAAGGATTTCACAATGTTTTAAAGACTTTCATTAACTGACTCTCATACATTTTTAAGTTGAAAACTGTGACTTTGTGTGTTGTGGTCATTTCCCCACAGTTAAGATTAAAATAAAAATTTTATACTCTAGTGTGTCACTGGCATTCTGAGATGGTGAATCTATCTGACCACAATCTATTGTGTAAATTCAAAGTTAGAATTATGTTCTGAACATGTCTGCATCACAGTGCAGTGTCATGGTAGTGATTCTTCAGTCAGCTCTGATCATGCTTCTGTGTGTAGTTGGTGCAGCGCAGAGAAATCAATGAAATCATCCGGATTTCCCAAAACTGTGTAGTTTATCTGGAGTAGTACCATAGCTAATGAGTTCTGAGTCTTCAAAAGCCCAAAGAGAAAAGTAATAACAATGCTCTTATACTTCTTTCTATCCTGGTATTAGTAAGCTGTACATTAGCTCAGACATCCCTTCAGACACTGAAAGCCCAAAAGGGTGTGTATGCCCCTGCTGCTAAGTGACAAACTGGTAACAATAGACAAGGAGAAGGCTGAGGTACTCAATAAGTTTTTTGCCTCGGTCTTCTCTGATAACTTTTCATCACACAGATCTCGAACAATTGGTTTGGAAGGAGGGTACTGAGGAAGCAATGTCCCTCCCACTGTGAGTGATGATCACATCCATGACCACCTGAAGAACCTGAACATCCACAAGGCTATGGGTCCTGTGAGATGCATCCCAGAGTCCTGGGGGAATTGGCTGATGTGGTCACTAAGCCACTCAATTACATTTGAAAAGTCATGGCAGTCAGGTAAAGTCCCTGGAGACTGGAAAAAAGGCAACATCACATCCATTTTTAAGAAGGCTAAAAAGGATGACGGAGGGAACTACCAACCTGTCAGTCTCAGCTCTGTGCTAGGAAAGATCATGAAGCAGATCCTCCTGGAAGCCATGCTAAGACACATGGAAGACAAAGTAGATGAAATGGGAGAAATAGCATGGCTTCACAAAGGGCAAATCCTGCCTTACCAAACTAGATGCTTTCTATGATGGTGTAATGGCATCAGTGGACAAGGGAAGAGCCATTGATGTCATCTATCTGTACTTCAGTTAGCCCTTTGACATGTTTCTCCACAACATCTTTCTTTCCAAATTAGGAAGATATGAATTTGAAGGGTGGACTGTTCTGTGGATGAAGAACTGGCCCAGGTGAACATCATGAAGTTCATCAACCCAAGTGCAAGGTCTTATATTTGGGTTATGGGAACCCACACTATCAGTACAAACTAGGGAATGTAAGGATAGAGCACAGCCCTGACAAAAAGGACTTGGGGATACTGGTGGATGGGAAGCTAAATGTGAGCCAGCAATGTGCCCTTGCAACCCAGAAAGGCAACTCTATCCTGCGCTGCATCAAAAGAAGCACAGCCAGCAGGCTGAGGGAGGTGATCCCTCTACTCTGTGCTGCTGAGGACTCACCTTGGATACTGTGTCCAGATGTGAAGTCCTCAGTACAGAAGAGACATAGAGCTGTTGGAGTGCATCCAGAGGAGGGCCACAAAAATGATCCATGGAGTGGAACACCTCTCCTCTGAGGATAGGCTATGGGAGAGCTGAGGTCCTTCAGTCCAGAAAAGAGAAGGCTGCAAGGTGACCTGGTAACAGCCTCTCAGTATCTAAAGGAGAACTACAGGAAAGAAGGGGGCAGACTCTTCAGCAGGGTCTGTGGTGACAGGACTAGGGGAAATGGTTTCAAACTGAAAGAAGGGAGATTTAGGTTATACATAAGGAAAAAGTCTTCTACAGGAAGGGTGGTGAGGCACTGGAACAAGTTGCCCAGAGAAGTGGAGGAAGGCACATGTGTCCCTGGAGGCCAGGCTGGACCAGACTCTGAGCAATGTGATCTACCTTGTGGATGTCCCTGTTCACTGCAGAGGATCTGGACTAGATGACCTTTAAAGGTGTCGTCCTCATTTAAGGATTCTATGATTTTAAGCATAGAATTAAATTAATGAAGTTGGTCCAGGACTTTTGGTCCAACTTCCTGTTCAAAGCTGGTCAAACTAGATCAGGTGCAAGAGTCTTGAACGTCTTGTGGGATGGAAATGCCAGTTATTCTTAGTAACCAATTCTAGTATTTGAGCATCCTTGGAGAAAAACAAAACAAAACAAAAACACCTCAAATGCCTTATATCTAATCAGAATTTCCCACGTTCCAACTTGTATCCATTCAGGTCTCATGGTAATGCTATGTAGCTCTAAGAAGAGGTTTGCCCCGTCTTCTCTGTAACCCGTAGTTAGGTAGCTGTAAACAGCAAGAAAGTCTCTCCTTAGCCTTCTTTTCTTCAGGCTGAACAAAGGCAGTTTCTTCAGCATCCTCATATACCATCTATTTTTGACCCTCACCATCTTGGTCGTCCTGCATGGGCTTTCTTCACTGTGGTAATATGTTTCTTGTACAGGGACACAGATGGATGTGGTACTCCAGATGTAGTTCTATGAATGACCATCATAACTTTCTGAGCCCAATACTTGAGCCAATTTTTCACCTATCTCATCATCCTTTTATCTAATTCATAGGTCAACAGCTTGGTTATAAGACGATGGAACATTATGGTTTAAAGCCTATAAGCTAATTTTCTAGTTAAATAGGCGTTCTGAATACTACATAATACAGTCACACATTATGTTGGAAGAGTATTTAAGTACATTCACAACAACAACAAAAAAAGCTATAGATGAAAAGATATACTAATTTATTTTTGTCATTTGTTTCATTTCTTCCATGACAACACCCCAACAGAGTGATAATCTAACCTTGTTTTCAATTCAGAAATATGAACCGAATACTTATAGAATCTTGAACCAGTCCACTTGTTCATCAGGCAAGCCTCACCACCTATTTCAAGTTCAATATTTGTGTACAGCAATATATTCCCATTCAACGGAATGAAATACTTCTGAATTTCACAACAGCAGGGCAGGGCATGCATTCATGTGCCGGGATTCACTCAGCACAAGAAGAAGTATGTTGTACTGAAGGTATTGTCAAGTCTGAATGCCTCTTCAGCCTGTAACTATGTCCAAATCATAGCTGTCAGATCACAGTCCTTTGCATCATTTATTACGAATAAGTATGTGGGACTTAAGTTTGAAGTTGGTTTGAAAAGAATTCTGATTTAAATCACTGCTTTGAATGGCTGCTTGACCACATGGTCTTCCTTCCAACTATTGCACAAGTCTCTGAATACTATTTTTCTAACCTGGGATGTGAGGAAGGACACAACTGCATTGTCTTATTGTATGTTCTACTAAGCTAATCTAGCTTATCCATCCAAGCATGGCAGTTTATGGCCAACTGTCTGTGCTGTGAGGTACTACTGGTATCAAGATTCATGCAGTAAAAGCCTGTTACTTCTAACAGGTGCTGCTCCCTGCTCTGTGCCCTCATGTTCTACAAAAAAAAAAAAAAAAAAAAAAAAAAAAACCACCAAAAAAAACAACAAACAAAACAAACCTGGAAAGCTGTCATTAAAGAAAATAAAAAAGCATGTTTAAGTCCTGCAGGCAGCGCTCCTTTCCCTCTCCTTCCTTCTCTTGTATATACACTGTATATGGTATTAGATTATGTAGTATTTTGGAATATCAAGCAGCAGCAAAATGAGACTTTTTTGTATATTAGGGTAGATTCTGATTGATATAGCAGAAGAGAGTAGAAGAAGTAGAAAGGATTGCTAGCTTCTGAGGTGTCAAAAAGTACTGAAGAAGCCTGGAAATAGCTAGGGCCTCAGTTCTATCTTAAACAGAAAGAATTACTGCAAGCAGAACTAATAACTTCATTTAAAATTACAGAGCTAAAATACCAGAATCAGCTGTTGTGATGTGGATATTGGTTTGACCTGGGTATAAAAGATTTCTGAAGTGAACCACAGATGTTTGATGTTTGACTGTCAGAAAAACACGAGAGTGAAAGAATTATTTGGATAATTTAATCTTCTACCTCAGCGTATGTATTTTAAACAAAGGTCCTGTCATTATACAAACATCTGTGAAGTTGGTAGAACTCAGTGTCCCAAATATTTACATAGACTTAAAACCACAAACATGTTTAATCAACTGTTTCAAATTTCAGCAAATTGCAAGTCCTTGGAGAAATCATCTGATTATCCATAAGTAGATTTTGTAGCGCATGAGAATAGAAGGCTCTTGCTGTACATCCACAGAATATTTGTTCACTAGGAATGTTCATAAAGCCACCCTACTTCGTAAAGGAGCCAACTGCTTAAACTCCAAGGTGTTTAGAAAAGAAAACTGCTTTCTGTATAGATCTGTAATACACTGGATGCAATACAGCTTCTAGTGGGATTTATACATTTCTTTAACACAGTGGATGTAATCCTTACACAAGTTATGGAGAATTCAAAGGATGCACGGTAGGTATCTTCAGAAACATTAGACAGATGTGTGAACTGTGGCTGTCACAACATATAGAAAGCCAGCTTCATTATTACTGCAAACAGAGCTATCTAGTCACTATTAGGAATAAAGGCCCCAAACTAGCAGGGCTGAGAGAAAGAACATAAGTTTTAAGTCAAGGTCTCTGTCAATTCCTTTTCCTGTCACAGCTATTTAGGGAAATTCCCAGAAACTTCAATGGAAACATTATGAAGTACAGAGCTGGCGATACTCCCACTTTGAACAGGAGTTTGAAGTAAATGATCTTCAGATATCCTTTCCAACCAACATTTCTTTCTATCTACGTTTCTGCTCACCAAGGACTTAGCACGACAAGTCTATGTGAGATGCTAAGAATAGGGAATAGTTTAAAAAAACAAAAGAAATTGTTTAGGATTGGCTAGTCCATGGGATGTCAATATATTTGCTGTCAACAGCAAATAGGGTAGGTGAAAGATTGGACTAGATGATGCTGGAGGTCTTTTCCAACCACGGTGATTCTATGATTCTAAAGATGTTTTGGTATTCTTTTGTCAATTTGAAATGGGATTCATCTTAATCTTTAGCTATCATTATTTCTAACTAGTATTTTTGCAAGGGCTCATGTACAAAAAACAAACCTGACTCCACAAAATACATGCAGATAGAGGGTATTGGGCAGTTTTAGCTTTAGCTAGAAGCTGAAGCTTGTAGTATTTTACCCTTTGATACTTTTAGCTTTTGCTTATACTATAGAGTCAGTACTCTGGCTTGTATAGTGAATACCTGCTAGAAAAAAACAATGCTATGTGTCTCTCCTGCATGTTGATGTGACTCACATACCTTGTTATGTTAAACATTCCCAGTTTTGTATTTCTCAGGTTTTTTTTTTTATGTGACTTTCATGATTTGTGCACAATCACTTGGAGAGTTTGAGAGAAGCTTTCAATATTATCCCATAATTCTTGTATGCAAGCTATTTACCCTTTTCCCTTCTTCTTTAATCTTTTCAAGATACACTCATTAGATGCAGAGAGATATTAAGCTCTTTTGTTTGTTCATTTTAAGGAGTGGAATTAGAATCTGAACATCAACACCAGAATTGCCAGTTAGGCAACTGCTTGGGATCTTTAAGTAGAGTTACAAAGAATTTGATACTTGACAAATGCACTTACCTCTGGTATGGCTATGACTGGTCCTGGTGGTCCTGGTGGTCCAGGTGGACCCACAATATTGTTCCCATCCTGTCCTGGTTCACCCTATTTCAACAACATTACACGTGAAAATCCCATTTAGTAAATGCTACACTTCACATAGGTTTCTCAGAAAGAATTAAACCATCCAATCTCACCTGAGGTCCTGGGTCACCCTTCTCCCCTTTTGGACCCTTTGCATGATAAAAAAGAACACAACAGGTGTAAATGATTTTAAACAGAAAATGTTGAAACTTCATTCTAACTTCAGAAAATGCAGAAGAGTGAAACACAGTTACATCACAATCCCCAGCTTTCTGAAAGCACAAATGGGACTCAGATCCTCTGTGGGTCTGATGTTTAAAATTGTCTGACAATGTTCACAAAAAACAAATGAAAACACACCATGTGATTAGTTGGGCATTGATTCAACAAGCCTTTATTTCACTGTAATGATATCAGATGTGCCTGGCTGCTTCTTCCTTTTTCATCATTGACCACCTTAGTTATGTTCCAGATTGCCTGATGAACTGAGCAGGGAAACACAAATGAACTGAAGAGTCATTTTTCATCAATAATTATTTCTAAGTTTAATTAGCCTCTCAAGATTCACTCTGCTGGGGATATAGACAGTTCATTTGACATGAATGAGAGGAAGGTGGCAGTGAATGAGCTTCCAGCTGAAGAATTCTATAATCCCTGGGGCTATTAAGCAGGAAAAATGCACTTAAATTACCTATGAGCATGTTGGCTTCCACATAATTAAAAGCAGAGCTAAATTCTGAATAATTAAAAGCATAAGGATCATCAAAGAAAGGGAAGTGGCCTCTGGAGAGCTCTGTATCTCTTCTGATTGGTGAGGGGGGCATTGGCAAAGAATATTGCTTCTATGTTTGGTGTCTAAGATAAATGCTCCACATTAAATGGGACAAATTCAGACCCAGCTCTCCACATGCAGCTAGCAAGTATTGTGAAGGCTCCAACTGTCAGATACAGGTTTGAAAGGAAGTGTGTGTAGGGTGATCATAGGATATGATATTCCAACTCACCACACCTCCAGGATGTCCAGCGACGCCAGGTTTTCCTTCTGTACTTGGCCTTCTCTGATACACACAAGAAAATACTGTTAACCGAGATAATCAGTTTTCAGTCTCATACAAGAATGCATGCATAGGTGAACTAATAGGATACATGGGGGGTTTCCATAAACTCAGGATCAGTTGCTCTTATTAGTCAACAGACCTCTTCACTGATCCTGCTGTTTCCCTGTCTCCAGAAAAGATTTTTCCAATGCAGCTTCAATAATTCTTCATCATTGCTCCTACCTCTGCTTAGCAAAAGGGTGAGTTGTTACTTTCCCATAGGGTTTATTCTGTGCATTACTTTCATTTGCAGTTAAGTGACTCTCAGTCCTGAGGTGGGGGTGGGAGAGGCATTGAGTGTAAATGGGGGGCTGGTAGGGATGTTGGGGTAAAAATTTGGTATTTTCTTCTCTAGTTCAATGGAAGACTGCAATTTAGTGCTATTAATCCAATCAATTACTCTACACTCTATGGGAAAAACAGAAAGTATTACACTGTAATAATAATGCAGTTTCCTAGAGAAAAATAGATAAAAGAAGGCTGAAAATTCTTAAAGGAATAGATAAATAGAAAACTACCTTATTTTTTTAAGTATATTTTTCTCTATGTTACATGAAAGAGCAAAAGAAATTGCACAGAACAGCCTAGTGATTCATCCAAGTGCCAAACTAGCACTGTATTTTTCAGTAGAGGCTTGTTTCTTTGTTTCATTTTATTGCTTTTTGTTTGTTTGTTTTAATGCTGTTTTTGTTCTGACATATTACTCTGCTTCAAAAAATACTTTTGGGTTTTCACTGTAGACATTACCATGAAAATGATACTTTTCTAATAGAAGAAATATTGAATATGAAATGAAGACAACTGTAAGAGATTCATTCAGTGTGTAGCTAAGTTGGTAGAGCCCCTTGCCATAAGATCTTATAAGTGACAAAAGTCTATGTAAATGTCAGGGAAGGTATCAAATTAATCTAGAAGAGGTCTATGAAGAATTTCAGCAACCATTTCTAGCTGAAGAAGTCCTGAGTCACAAATTGTTGGAGCCTGGAAGATTACTCAGGACAACTGCAATGTAATACATGCCTTTTTCTAAGGTCAAACAGTATCCAAGCATCTGCTCAAACTGCATCTACTTTTGACTGTTACTGGAAGCAGGATACTGGGATGGATGGATGTGGATAAAACCACTGAGAATTATCTAGTACTCTGCAGGAATCTCTGTAAGAATAACAGAGCATCCAAAGAAAAATAGCCTTCTGTGTTGCAACTCATGTGTGACAGAAGAAATTAAAAGTTCATCAGATTCCAAATTCTCACTCTTCTTGGGCCTCACTGCACAACCTTCCTAAAAGATTTAATGTGTCCACAACATTTTATTTCTATTTTTGTCTGTGAAAAAAAAAACAACAAACCAAAACATATGGCAGTTTATTAAGATAATGTTTTGCTTTTAAGATGTTTTCATTTTATACGGCATTGCAGGATAGAAGTTGTTTGTGACTGTAAAAGGGATTTAGGAACCTAAGAAACTAATGGGGGTTATAGGTACTTGCATGAGTTTTAAAAATGGTACTTGCAACTTCAGGCTCTTCAGTTCTTATAGAAAATGGTAAATATATGCGTATGACAAAAGTATTTGGGCAGAGGAAATAAGCTTGAACAAACTGCATTCTTCAACAGAATTCTGTCCTTTCAGGCATGCTGGTACAGGGAGATCAAATTTCTGTTATTACAGATGCTGAGTAATTTCATCAGTTGATTTGACTGAGTAAATTTAGTTTGGAAGAAAAGACCTAGGATAGCATGATGTTTTACTGTAAATAAATTACACACAGACATCCTCATTTCCAACTTCATATTTTAAGATTGTAGACCTGTTTATTGCTAAAATAGAAGAGGACTAAGACTGGGTGGATCTTTTTTTATCTTTTTCTTCCCCTGAGGACTGAAGAGAGATTGACTGTTTTTAAATAACACTGGAACCATTCCATTTGCAATATATGCATGTGATCTATGTGAAATATAGATGTGAAATATATCTATCACAGTAGCAATATTAATTACTCAAACAGTAACTACAGAACAAAGCAATTGTATTAATAAAATTAAGAAAATAACTTATAGCTTCAAGCAGGTTAAAAAGAAAAGCATAAAACAACTGTCCTGTGCATCAGTGCATCACCTTAATTGATTACAAATACACATATCCCTGTGAAATGACAGTGCTAAAAATACATACAGCAGATTAAATTTATGTCAAGTAGAGTCCTGATACATTATTTTATTTCATTTTAATAAATAAGCAGCTGCTGGTAGAAGATTGTAGTAATAATTCTGTAAACATTCAGAAACAGAAGGGTAGATTCATAATTATTTTTATCTTGTTTCATATGGCGGCTCTTGATTACAGTGATGTCTTAAATGCAAGAGAAGCCACTGTTTAATCCTATCCTACCCTACCCTACCCTACCCTACCCTACCCTACCCTACCCTACCCTACCCTACCCTACCCTACCTTATTCCATTCCATTCCATTCCATTCCATTCCATTCCATTCCATTCCAT